ATTTCTACAAGTTTGTGGAACAAGCGCGTATTATTAGCTCTGTTCTGATTGGTTAGTTAATTTTGATTGACACTCCGGGAAGATACATTAAGTCACTTACGTTACGTTGATTCCCAGTGAAACCCGTGTTTACAATTGAATGATAAATACTGCAAAAATTACTTAATTTATTGAAATTTGTTTTGTTTACAACGACGAAACTTTTCCATCCTTAAGTTTGTATAATGTGTATGTTACACTTATAACAGAACAAAACAATAGACTGTAAAGAAAAACAGTAACACCTGACCTAAAACAGAGGCGTTTTTCCTATAACTGGGAAGCTACTTACATGGCAAGAATGTATAATACATACTCAAAGTATTGAAATGCACGCCATTGTGTTGGGATTCAATATTTCGACATTAATTATGTCATTATCAGAAAAAAATTTAAATTGTAATTTAAACTGAAGATCAAAACATTCGTACTCTACTGATCAAAACTACCACAAAAACGAAGAAAGCTTCTTTGAAGCTTTCAGCCCACCCGTTAAACAATGGGTGTAGTCTACTAGCAAACGTATTTTTAAACAATAACGTAGACCAGTTTTGGGAGCCTGTCAATATTAAGTATTAGAAAATATTAAACCTAATTTATTACATAGGCCTACATTACAGACCACATCAGCATTTTCAAGTATTCCTTGTAAGCCTAAAACATGGCTTCAAAATATTGGCTAGTTGACCTTTCATAACAAGCTAAGATCGCACATGTATTTCTGGATTACTTATAATAAGACAGTGGCGGATTTAGATAGGGGAGATTGGGGCGTACGCCCCCTCTATTTTTAGTAAAGTATTTTTTGTGAACTATATCAGAAAATTACCTAAACGGTAAAAAATCAATCAAAACCGACATCTAATTAATAAAGGTGCTAGAGGTTGATGGGAAATTAGCCCCGTGCACCCCTACCAGGGGCTCTTCCCTGAGACTCTCACTCAGTTCGCACATTCACACCCGCTCTTTCTTTCGGGGCTATCCGCCCCTGCTACAGATTCAAAGCGTGTCAGTTATCAATGCGATAAAAGAAGACATAGACGTGAGAAAAAATTACTGCACTACACTCACTTGTAAAAGTAATAAATATGGTAGTAGGCCTACAGGCGACACCACACACTCACGCTGTTCTCCTCGGCATTTATAGCACTTACTGTATTTGTCCTTTTGTGATTAAACAAAATTTCAGCTTGAATCATTTTATTCAACGTTTTACTCATAATTTACTACCTTATGCCTTTGTCATTTGTTATAGTATTGATTGCTATGGATATGTGTTTCTGAAATAAAAGTTGAATTTAATTTAATTTAATTACGTTAATGCTTTATTTATTCGATGCTATCTATGATTAAATAGAATAGTTGTAAATGTTTTAGCAAGAAATGTACACTCTATCTATATATGGAACTAATATTTGGATGAATGCATCTTAAGGAATTACAATACACTCGGTGTTATTTCCATATTGGACAATATAATTGAAATCTGAAATTGAATCTTAGCACAAGACCCACTCTCAAAAGTTGTAACCTTTTATATAGACTGCACACTCCTAACCGAGGATTTCATTTGTTTGAATTTGTCCACACTATAATATTTTGTGCGACAAAAATGTAATGTGCCCATGTGCGGACATGATAATGTCATATTATACCCAAATATGGGCATACCACATTTTGTTGTCACATAAAATTTGATGTGTGGACATGGCGTTACAACATGGTGCTACTAAAACCAAAATATTGCCCGTCGTGTCATAAGATGCTCAATAACTTTATGTTATAAATGCATAATGTACCCACCTCCCTTGTATGCAAACTCCAGATGTGCCTACTTCATGGTAATGTTGTTGAAACATTTCATAATTGCAGATGTCATCGCCACCGGTGTGTAATCAGTATGTGAACAGACACTTCTTTCTTTTGAGACAAGCACCATATAAGCCTATTGGCAATTTTCCCGGAACACAGAAACAATTTGTCGGAGCATTATTTTATTAATTTATTCCATATTTTATCAGGGCTACCGCCGGTAGTGGTGTGTTTCCTGAATTCCAGAAGATTTGTTTCTAACATAATCTATACTAACATTTCAAATGATTATTTCAATTCTGTTATTTCATTAGAATATTGTGTAGGCCTATGTCAAATCTCAATCGAAATTGTTCAGTTCGCTGACAATTGTAAGGACTTGCCTCCGATGTCGTTTTTCAACTTGAGTTCTTCGGATGCAAAGTATGTTTAAATATTTCCAAAGAGTAGATACTTGTGTAAGAATCAATAAAACCAACTTTTAATAGCAATAATTAAAGAATTTTATATGATAAATATTGTTACAGGTTTTGCCGCCTGTTTCAGGAAGTAGCGGACTAACATCTCGTATTATCTGTACTGCATGGTCGTGTATTGAGTTGTCATGGCCTTGGAGAGAAAATAGAAAAAGGGAAAGAGAACTACGGTATTATAATAAATTTAGTGTTTTAAATATTTCTCGACGAAACTTAGAATAGAGTCAGCATAAGGTCCTGGTGGACTGTGTACACAGATTGGCATTGTTAACACAGACATCTGAAACCGATGGTAAATAAATTTTAACAAGAAATCAGATAATTATCGGCTTAAAAATATCTTTTTATAGAATACCAAATAAGAATAATAATAATAAGAAACATTAGGCTAGGCTAGGTGGGATTAGAATAAACAGCCTAAACAAGTAAACAGGAAGGGCAAAACTAAAAACTATATATATATATATATATATATCGTACGCAAATCGCCAAGGCTTCCTTCCGTTGACGTACAGGTAATTATTGACCCCTAAACTTTTAAATCGCTAAGGCTTCCGTTGATGTACAGGTAACACTTGACCCTTTGGACTCTCAAATCGCCAAGGCTTTCTTTTACGTAATCATTTACTATCAAGCTATAAAGGTCTTTTATCATAAGCGTGCGTCTAGTCGGGAAAATTACTGATATAATTATCGTATTTAGCATTATTTCTTGCTTGTATGTCAAATAGGCCTAAGTCATTAACAGTTTGAAGGACAGGCAAGACACTCTGTCGTGGTAAAAACTATGTTATAGAGGGCGGTGTAAAAGTTGCGCACCATAACATCAAAGATGATCCCTATATTTTAACTATTTTGCGAGATTTTGTGTAGGTTTAAATAGCACAGTATCATAACATATTATATTGTCCGACTGTTATCGATAGGTTTATTAGCGTAGAAAGTACCTCCAAGTGTCTAAGTATGTCGTTTGTCTTTACAGCCTGTATGTCCTGCATCAAAATTACATATATAAATTAAACAATAGACATCACTTAACATGTCTTCCGCTCTCGTTGTCGCACTAATTCTGTAATGCATCATCTTCATAATGCTTTTTTTCTCGCTGGTGGGATGATCCGCCTACTAGTATAAAATGAGCTTGAGATAAATTAGAAAACGTTGTACACAATCATAATTTATAGAGTACATACTGATCAGTAGACCAGCTTATATTGAAAAACCATGTTATTTCTCGGTGAATTGTGATTATTTTTAAGTAACAGAACACAGACAGTAACCGAACGGTCCACTGATTAATCTCAGATAAGATAGTATAATACATAGGCCTACTCCAAGTATCAAAATGCACGCCATCGTGTCGGGATTCAATATTTCGACATTAATTATGTCATCATCAGGAACTACTTTTCCTGATGATGACATAGGCCTAATTAATGTCAAAATATTAAACCCCGACACGATGGCGTGCATTTCGATACAGACAGTGACGTATCTAGAAAAAATATCCCTCCAGTCTCCCCTCCCCCACACACACATTGAAAATGTTCGAAACAAAATTAAATCACTCTAGTCTATAGATAAATATCACCTTATTTTGCGAGCTAGTGCCACCTCAATTCACCATCGCCCCCACCCCCGCATTTCAAGACTTATAGGCACTCCACTGTACACAGAAAAATAAAGGAACTACTTTTATATTCATCACCCCATTGTGTGATATATGTGATATATGAGGTACAGCAATGTGTAGTTGTATAATTCTGGATTGAAACAATCGATAAAAAATAATCAGAATAGAGGATACTTAATACTGTGTTATTACATTGGTGTCAGTGGCGTAATGCCTATGCGCTCTCGTGCGGCCGTCCACAGCCCCCCCCCCCTACCCATATGTTCTTCGATCTAGCACCCTGACCCAAAAGAGCTTTGTTGATACATAACAGTATAATGTGTCTCTGGCATCGACTATGGAAATGTGGCAAAATTTAAAAAGAATTTGAGGATAAAAAGTATATTCTATCAAATTTTAAATCTTCTTAGCTCAGCCCTGACCATGGCTGGGCTGGGCTGAGGCCGGGTATAGACTCTCCATCTGTGAGAGTCCATCCATGCCCCTCACCCTCTATTTCATATTCCTGGATTCGCCACTGATATCCTCATTTATTTTGTCGTTAAAACATTTAGAATATAATGACAAACATTAAGAAAAGAGCAAAAACCCAGAGGATCCACTAATTAGTCTTAAATGAAACAATAAGACAGAACTCCGAAAAGAGACAGAGACATTTTGAGATTCAACGTTTCGATCTATATGATCATTTTCAAGAATACTGAGAAAAGAGCACATTTAAATCCCTCAATAGAATTGGTGATCGGGACCAGGGCACCCTTTCTCATAAAGCCACAGGTCCCCGGTCCCATCGTTACGCCACTGATTGATGTTTAACATGCTGCATTACCAAGACTATACAAAAGGCAGCTTTAAAAGTAAAATGCGTAGACTTAGATATTTTTACCCACTTGTGAATTAAGTTTTGATTTCCAGATCATTCGTTATTTTATGAAAATAAATACCGGTAAATGAGAATTATTTTGTTGTATTGCTGGTTCGATTCATCGAATCATAATTTAAACAGTAAGTTCATCTCCGACACATAACAGTAACGCTTGTTATTTGAAAGACTTTGTTTATTTCCTTTATCATTGTTAAACAATACAAGTATACGCTATGCCTATACAGGTACAGTATTCATCCGCAGTAATGTAAAAGTCATCAATATTATAGCCTAATACCATAGCCTTTACTATTCCATTTGTAATAAAAACATAATATCTAATAAAAATTTTTGATGACTTGCAAAAGATTAATCAGCTTCATCAACAAGTAAACACGATTTGTCCTACTAGAGTGTTTACATTTCTCATACTATGAGATAATTAAAATCGTGATTGAATTTAATTTGGTTTCGGGAACTTATTGTCTGCATGGAACAGAATAGTTTCTGGCATGATCTTATACAGAGAGGTATTCACTTCTGAGATTACGTCAGGACTACTTTGAGCACGAACTTTTCCAACAAAGTCCCACGCTTCAGTAAGATCTGACCCCACACCTGTAAGTTCGGCACGGAGGACGTACGCAAAATTTTTGCGCATAGTAAAGCGCCGGTAAATCCCGATGCTGCCTAGGCCTAGAGACTTTGGCACATTTTCAATTATGAACTGGGCTCCAGATGCTTTCATCCAGTCATCTTCAAAGTCCTTCCTCCTTGGATCCGATTCATCTTCAACCTTTCAGGTTAAAATAAAATACAAGAATTACATCATTATTATAACGTTACATTGTTCCCGTCAGAATAATTATTGATATTATTATTATTATTATTATCAGTATCCTCTAATCACTGTGCGCAAAAATGAATTCATGTCTTATTTTTATGAATGGTGTATGTAAAGGAGTAATAATTCATGAAAAAAGATAGAGGAGCCGAACATACCTTGTAATTTGAGATCAGAAACACCGAGTTGTCACTCTTTGCAAGAGCTGGGGCCCACTGCTGTCCGTCTGCAGTTCCAATCTCACGATATCCACCTGAAAGAAATTGAAATCCATTGTATGAACAAAAGTAGACATTTAGAGATAGAGGCAGGTCTAAATCTGTCAACCACAACCCACTGCATTATTTGTTTTATTTGTATCTAGGAAACGGTGCCCCCGCCCCCCATTTAAAATGTCGGAAGCAAAAAAAAAAAAAAAAAAAATACGCCCAAATAATTAATAATTTCCATTATTACATATCGGGTTTTGGGAGCTGCGCACCCTCACTTAACCATCGAGGTCCCCACCCACTTCACCTAAAATATTAACTCGTTTTAAATATGAAGTGTTTATTATATATTGAATTATATATGCAAACAATATATCATTGTGTTTTTTCTTACATATTGTTATCTACAATATACGTGCTTTAATTAATATTCGTATCGATAACCTAGTCCACATTTCAAGCGCCCTGAGCATCTTACATTAGATGGATTTGTGCGCTATATAAAACTACACTATTATTATTATTATTATTATTAATTTATCTTGAACGTAAACAGCGCCATCACTAGTTTCGAGAACGTGCCAAATATAGTACAAAATTGTTGAAATTATGCATGACGTCAACATACGACCCCACGCCCCCACGGCTGAACCCGTTGTATTTAGCAACTACCCAAAATATTCACCTGGGTGAGCTTCGATAGCATTTCCACCACTAGTTTTCTGCATCATTTTAAGCCATTCTCCCGCTGGAGGCTTAAAACCATCAAAATCATCACTGTCAAATCCTGCATAGTTGACGAACTTATATAGAGCTATGAAAAAAATAATTTGCAGTGATTAGTGAAAAATAGACCAAGGCTTACGAACCAATAAGTTATTGTTTTAAATGTATAATAGTTCGGGTATACAAGTACAATAACACATCACAAAAAAAAACCAAAACATTGAGAAAAAAAAAGAGCGAAAAAGGAGGACAAGGACCAACAGCCATATCCCCGGAGAGACCAAATAGCGCTTGCTAATAGTAAAGGCCTTTCTAAAAAGTTATTCTGTGTGTTGGTTTTAAAATCCGTTCAGCCATTGGGCGTGTAAGGTGATAGTGTGCAGAACACTTTACTTGTTATTTCTTAAGATTTGCTTTGTCATATTCTTCTATTGTGTTGTGTCGCTGTTCTATGAATGGAACTATAGTATAGAACACTTCCACCACCGCTTAGCATATGTTTTCGTATTTAATTGAATGTCCTCTCAGTCTGGTGTAAGTTTGTAGGCGTACGATTGATCATCTTTAAAAATGAAATCATACTACCTATAATACTACTAGTACTATTCAGAAGTGGCGCCAGGGAGAAAGGGGAAAGGGGTGCCCCCCCCCCCCCGGGCCACAGGTCGGGGAAAACAAGCACTTCGTTGGGGAAAAAAGAAAAAAATTATATGTATTTTTTTTGTTGATAATAGTAGACTTTAAATTCGTTTAAATAAGCATTAATATTAAAATAGTTAAATTATTAAATAAGACGGATCCCCTTAGGAATAATTCCGAGACGCATTGGCTACGCTCGACCACGCCCACCCCGCTCTAGGCACCACCCCTGGTACTATTACCAAAATATAGCTAGGCCTATTAGTAGTAAAGCTAAGCATACAGGATACGCTACAGTACTAATCATTATAGGCAATGCTACTGCTACCATCAAAGATCCTTGTGTAATATATGTGCCTGCATTAATTGCAAGCTCAAGGTAATTACAGTATTTGATTGATTAAGTAGCTTATTGTGTTTATTGGTTTACCTTCCGAGTCCAGGTTTCTATGCAACTGAGTCACTCCAAAATGTTTCGTATTCTGTACAAATGTGGCTGTTTCCCACCAAGAGTCCATAAATGTAGCATAGCCAGTCGGTGCCTCGGCTTTTGTGAAAAAGTTAAACAAAACTCGCCATTTATTTGCCACAGCAGCCATAACGACTAATAGTATGCGATGACTGTCTTTCTGTGTGACCTACCAGGCCAGTGAGCGGATTACCACGCTAGCAGCATTGCCACGCAGGGTCACGATCACTTCTTGTTTACACTGTAAACCATGGTCACTGGTTGTATTATTGCATACTGTGTAATGAATAGAAATCAATCCCTATTCATCGTTTCAAGTGCTTACGAATAAAATTATTGTTAGCTATATGATATTACTGTTATGCCTATTAATATTTTTCGTAGTTTGATTATATATATACAGTATATACATATAATATATTTGTAACCTATTTATAGATCTGGTGATTAATCACCCATTGTATAGTCTTATGTATTCTGTTAAGTTTCTCATTGATACTCATGCGCTGACGAAGGTAACAGGAGTTGCCGAAAATTTCGCTAATAAATATTTCTATGTCTCCTACCTGTCTCTTATACACATCTAGATGTGTATAAGAGACAGAGGGGACGTACTTTCAATTGAAAATGGTAGGGATTTCTCAACCTACGATAGAGACAATGATGGTAAAAATATTGGGCAGTGCGCTGTGACTTTTTCTGGTGGTTGGTGGTATGGATGGTGCTTTAAATGCTGCCTAAATGGCTTGTTAGTAGACTTCAGGTGCGCAATTATTGATGGGTATGGTGCGTATCCCATGCTGTTGTTGAGTCATTCGGAGATGAAGATGAAGAGGCTGTAAGTCGTTTTCTCTTTTGAGGAAACTTGTAATAAAAACAAATTGTAGAATTTTCAAGTGAGTTTAACAATTAGTGTTTAAGATGAAGTACGCATGGAAATTATGTTGAATGATATAGCTCTATTATATTTATTATTTGTAATATTAATGTGGTGAAGACTATTATATTGAATAGAAACAAATCGAGTACATTATACAATTAGCAAGTCAGACCTTAGATTAATCAACGGCTATATACTATAATAGAATACACAATAGAATATTTTTCTATTGTGAAACTGATAATTATTCATATAATATATTATATATATATATATATATATATATATATATATATATATGTTACACGTAAACAAATAAACTCTGAACCGTCATGTGGCAATTATGCTGTAATGAATCTGTCTCTTATACACATCTGAACAGAATAGTTTCTGGCATGATCTTATAAAGAGATGTATTCACTTCTGTGATTAAGTCAGGACTACTTTGAGCACGAACTTTTCCAACAAAGTCCCACGCTTCAGTGAGATCTGAACCCGTAGCTGTAAGTTCGGCCCGCAGGACGTACGAGAAATTTTTGCGCAAAGTAAAGCGCCGGTAAATCCCGATACTTCCTAGGCCTAGAGACTTTGGCGCATTATCAATTATGAACTGGGCTCCAGATGCTTTCATCCAGTCATCTTCAAAGTCCTTCCTCCTTGGATCCGATTCACCTTCAACCTATGTTTAAGATAAAATACGTAAACATTCACGTCATCATACGTCATTAACTATTTAACTGCATGGACGTCACCAGTTTTTTCGTCATTGTCAACACACTTATGTATATTATTATTATTATTATTTTTTTTTTTTTTTATTTATTTTTTATTTATTATATTTGTTATTTATTATTATTGTTATTTATTATTGTTATTGTTATTGTTATGATTATGGTTATTATTATTGTTATTATTATTGTTATTATTGTTATTATTATTATTGTTATTATTATTATTATTATTATTATTGTTACTATTGTTACTATTGTTACTATTGTTATTATTGTTAATATTGTTATTGTTATTATTATTATTATTATTATTATTATTATTAACATCATAATCATTAAATTACAATCATTCTCATAATTCATATTAGGCCTAATTCTATGAATGCAGACGAGTAATCATTCACGGGAATTATTTAAAGCCGAGAACGTACTGTACCTTGTAATTTGAGATCAAAAACACCGAGTTGTCACTCTTTGCAAGAGCCGGGGCCCATCGCTGTCCATCTGCAGTTCCAATCTCGCGATACCCACCTTTAGAAAATGTTCATGATAGTGTTACAAACGTTAAAATTGTATAATGAATTATACGTATTATAGGCCTATGTGAATTTAACATTGAGAGAAAGTTTCTTTGTTAATTAATTGACGCATAAATATACTGCATAAGCATTTTATTTGTGATGTATCTATGCATTAATAATGAATAAACCAGAATTAAAATGTTTATGATATCTTTATTATTATTCCGTATGTAGACCTATAAGCATATAAAATTAGCCTGATAAAATGTAAAATTCTTATATCTTTTATTCTGACGTAAACGATAATGGTCAATACGTATTTTCCAACATTTATCATGTTTTCAACAATTTACAATATTCGATGCCCGAACTTCATATTCTTAATAATATTTCATTAATGTCCGGAATAAAAGTTAATTGATTGACTGATTTGATTGATTAACTGACCGATAAAATATTTACACGAGCCAGGCAGTACCCTCACTAACTTGAAAATGGTACAAATTTACCTTGGAAAACTTCGACGGCATCTCCACCACTCATTTTTTGCATCATTTTAAGCCATTCTTCCGATGGCGGTTTGATACCAAAACCATCAAAATTATCACTGTCAAATCCTGCATAGTTGACAAACTTGTATAAACCTGTGGAGAATAGAATTTTCGATAATGTGATCTGTACGAACCAAAGAGGAAAAAACCCAGCATAGCAGTGACGGATCAGGATTTAGCAATGGGGAGTGGATAATGGGAGGCGAGAAGCACTGAGCGGGGTGGTTTTGGGAGGGCGTACCCACCCATTTGAGGTTTTTTTTTGGAATTAGTAGACGGCTAGACGTTCTTAGATGGAATCTGAAAAGAAGTTAAGCTTAAAATAGAAAGTGTATGTTTTACCAGAGTAACGTATTGTGGACACACGAGGTACACACACAGGACAAGTGATCATTTCCTTTTCACGGTAAACGAAGAGAGTGGGGTGGCTAGCCACCCTATTCACAATCTCCCCCTAGATTCTATTGCCCAGCATTGTGTGTTGTTTCAAAAATTTGATCAGTCATTCAATTAATGTAAGATGATTGTGTGCAGCACTTCTTCATCTTCTTTGTCATAATTTTCTTTTGTTTCAACGTTCTTGAAAATGATGTGACAGTAACTCTCTTAGCTGACATCTCATTTAGCCTATTGATGGGTCTAGCTGCAGTGGTGTCTCTAGAAGTCTTAAAGTGGGGTGCTGAGGGGTCACGACGGTAAGGTGTGCGGCTCCAGGTGCGGATTTAGGGGGCTGGGCCGGCACCTCCCCCCTTTTTTTGGAGAAAAAAAAAGAAAGAAAAAGAAAAAAAATGATCTCCCAAAACGCCTCAGAGGTTATTTTCAGACTCAAAATTTGAAGGTAATTTTCTTTTATTCCCCATTTAATTTTTATTTTCGGTAAAATTTTGGGGCGACTCAAGTTTGATATTCCACCAATAAGCTTATGGATAGAAGATGATTCGCCAAATTATGACATCTGGGATCTTGGAATTCGACATAGACAAGGCGGGAGGGGTGCAGATAGTAAATTTTTCAGATAGGATAATTGCGCTACCTCAGCCCAATCATGATAGGGCGGAGGTACGAAATTTTTATGTTTATGGAACTTGTAGATGGCCGGAAATGACACTGTCAGACTCAAAATTGGAATGTAATATTCTGTTATCCCCCATTTATTTTTAATTTTGTCAAATTTATGGCTCCATCCTGATTTTTTTTAATTTATTCAATACCGTATCCAAGTAAAAGCAATAAAAGAGAAAACATGGAAACAAGATGTACATTGCATATTCCAGTTAAAACAATTTACGTGAACGAAGTCATGGGTATTTCATTATTGTCAAGGCATGATCACATTGTTGTAAGTCAAGAAAAATAATGGCATTATGAACAATTTCTTCTAATAATCAAGCGGACCCCCGACCTTTCGTGGACCCCATGCGGACCCCTTTGACTTGGCGGATCGCCAATTACTTTGTGCCCTAATGTGTCCGCGGACTTCAGGTTGGGACCCACTGCTCTAGATGACTGGAAATTGCTTAATTAAATTACCGTAGATTTCAACAAAAATACAAAAAAATTAACAACAACAATAATAATAATAACAATAATAATAATAACAATAATAATAATAATAATAATAATAATAATAAAAATAATAAAAATAATAAAAATAATAATAATAATAAAAATAATAAAAATAATAAAAATAATAAAAATAATAATAATAATTAAAAATAATAATTAATAATAATAATTAATAATAATAATTAATGATTTACAGTATAGGGTATCAATTATCATAGATATAAATGTGGAAACAGTATCACGCGTTGCAATAGGGCAAATTTGAATGTAATTTTCTTTTCCTATTTTATAATTTTTTAAAAACAATTAAGGCTGGTGCCAGGCTGATGAATCCGCCTCTACAAAAATCTTTAAAATTACCCTTTGAACCCCATATAGGCCTATTTCGAATTTCTGGATCTGCCACTGGATTGATAATCATAAAATACCGAAGGATAACACCATTACTCTATGGCCTTTTACAAGATAACTCCTAATAATGTATAGAATGCTACTCAATCGTAGACACTTACTTACAATACAGTCCTGATTTAATTTAA